GAGGGACACAGAATTGTTACTCAGGGACACAGAATTGTTACTCAGGGACACAGAACTGTTACTCAGGGACACAGAATTGTTACTCAGGGACACAGAATTGTTACTCAGGGACACAGAATTGTTACTCAGGGACAGACACAGAATTGTTACTGAGGGACACAGAATTGTTACTCAGGGACACACAGAATTGTTACTGAGGGACACAGAATTGTTACTCAGGGACACAGAACTGTTACTCAGGGACACAGAATTGTTACTCAGGGACACAGAAACTGTTACTCAGGGACACAGAATTGTTACTGGGGACAGACACAGAATTGTTACTGAGGGACACAGAATTGTTACTCAGGGACAGACACAGAATTGTTACTGAGGGACACAGAATTGTTACTGAGGGACACAGAATTGTTACTCAGGGACACAGAATTGTTACTCAGGGACACAGAACTGTTACTCAGGGACACAGAATTGTTACTCAGGGACACAGAACTGTTACTCAGGGACACAGAATTGTTACTCAGGGACAGACAGAGAATTGTTACTGAGGGACACAGAATTGTTACTGAGGGGACACAGAATTGTTACTGAGGGACACAGAATTGTTACTCAGGGACACAGAATTGTTACTCAGGGACACAGAATTGTTACTCAGGGACACAGAATTGTTACTCAGGGACAGACACAGAATTGTTACTGAGGGGGACACAGAATTGTTACTGAGGGACACAGAATTGTTACTCAGGGACACAGAATTGTTACTCAGGGACAGACAGAATTGTTACTGAGGGACACAGAATTGTTACTGAGGGACACAGAATTGTTACTGAGGGACACAGAATTGTTACTGAGGGACACAGAATTGTTACTCAGGGACACAGAATTGTTACTCAGGGACACAGAATTGTTACTCAGGGACAGACACAGAATTGTTACTCAGGGACACAGAATTGTTACTCAGGGACACAGAATTGTTACTCAGGGACACAGAATTGTTACTGAGGGACACAGAATTGTTACTCAGGGACACAGAATTGTTACTCAGGGACACAGAATTGTTACTCAGGGGACACAGAATTGTTACTCAGGGACACAGAATTGTTACTCAGGGACAGACACAGAATTGTTACTGAGGGACACAGAATTGTTACTGAGGAGGGACACAGAATTGTTACTCAGGGACACAGAATTGTTACTCAGGGACACAGAATTGTTACTCAGGGACACAGAATTGTTACTCAGGGACACAGAACTGTTACTCAGGGACACAGAATTGTTACTCAGGGACAGACACAGAATTGTTACTGAGGGACACAGAATTGTTACTGAGGGACACAGAATTGTTACTGAGGGACACAGAATTGTTACTCAGGGACAGACACAGAATTGTTACTGAGGGACACAGAATTGTTACTGAGGGACACAGAATTGTTACTGAGGGACACAGAATTGTTACTCAGGGACACAGAATTGTTACTCAGGGACACAGAATTGTTACTCAGGGACACAGAATTGTTACTCAGGGACAGACACAGAATTGTTACTGAGGGACACAGAATTGTTACTGAGGGGACACAGAATTGTTACTGGACACAGAATTGTTACTCAGGGACACAGAATTGTTACTCAGGGACACAGAACTGTTACTCAGGGACACAGAATTGTTACTCAGGGACACAGAATTGTTACTCAGGGGACACAGAATTGTTACTGAGGGACACAGAATTGTTACTGAGGGACACAGAATTGTTACTCAGGGACACAGAACTGTTACTGAGGGACACAGAATTGTTACTCAGGGACAGACACAGAATTGTTACTGAGGGACACAGAATTGTTACTGAGGGAGACACAGAATTGTTACTCAGGGACACAGAATTGTTACTCAGGGACAGACACAGAATTGTTACTGAGGGACACAGAATTGTTACTGAGGGACACAGAATTGTTACCAGGGACACAGAATCTGTTACTCAGGGACACAGAATTGTTACTCAGGGACAGACACAGAATTGTTACTGAGGGACACAGAATTGTTACTCAGGGACAGACACAGAATTGTTACTGAGGGACACAGAACTGTTACTCAGGGACACAGAATTGTTACTCAGGGACACAGAACTGTTACTCAGGGACACAGAATTGTTACTCAGGGACAGACACAGAATTGTTACTGAGGGACCCAGAATTGTTACTGAGGGACACAGAATTGTTACTGAGGGACACAGAATTGTTACTCAGGGACAGACACAGAATTGTTACTGAGGGACACAGAATTGTTACTGAGGGACACAGAATTGTTACTCAGGGACACAGAATTGTTACTCAGGGACACAGAATTGTTACTCAGGGACACAGAATTGTTACTCAGGGACACAGAACTGTTACTCAGGGGGTTACAGGGACACAGAATTGTTACTCAGGGGACACAGAATTGTTACTGAGGGACACAGAATTGTTACTGAGGGACACAGAATTGTTACTCAGGGACACAGAATTGTTACTCAGGGACAGACACAGAATTGTTACTGAGGGACACAGAATTGTTACTGAGGGACACAGAACTGTTACTCAGGGACACAGAATTGTTACTCAGGGACACAGAACTGTTACTCAGGGACACAGAATTGTTACTCAGGGACAGACACAGAATTGTTACTGAGGGACACAGAATTGTTACTCAGGGACAGACACAGAATTGTTACTGAGGGACACAGAATTGTTACTCAGGGACACAGAATTGTTACTCAGGGACACAGAACTGTTACTCAGGGACACAGAATTGTTACTCAGGGACAGACACAGAATTGTTACTGAGGGACACAGAATTGTTACTGAGGGACACAGAATTGTTACTCAGGGACAGACACAGAATTGTTACTGAGGGACACAGAATTGTTACTCAGGGACACAGAATTGTTACTCAGGGACACAGAATTGTTACTCAGGGACACAGAACTGTTACTCAGGGACACAGAATTGTTACTCAGAGTGTCAGGAATGGACTGGCCAGCAATGGTGGGACTCACCTGCCTTTTGATCTGCAGTACCAGGGCTGGCCAGCGGGTGCTCCCAGCAATCAGAGACTCAACCTTTCAGCCAGCTAACACCTGGAACTGATGATACTGGTGTATTTAAGGGATGGCCAGACTTGCAGACTCTGCCTTGGTGTGTGTTTGTCCTGGGCCCTGTATCTGTCCTGCATCCTGTTTCTGTCCCTCTGCCTGACCCTCTGTACTACGCTGCTTGTTACCTGTTTTGATCCCTGGCTTGTGACCCTGACCATCCCTCTGCCTGACCCTCTGTACTACGCTGCTTGCTACCTGCTGAACCTGGCCTGTGACCCCGACCAATCTCTGGTTGCTCCCCCTGTACCTACCTGCCCAATTGATATTGACCCGGCCTGCCTGACGACGCTTGCTTGTATGTACTGTTATCTGTGGGTGGTTGGTTGGGTTTGTTTGCACTGTATTATGTTTAGTATTGCACTGCGTTTATGTTTGTATGGTTAGTGTTAATAAATTGTATTGTTTATCACATATCTGAAGTCTGCGTTTCCCTGCATCAGTCACACACCTCTGGTCATACCTGGGAGCCCTGACATTACACCAAGGCCAATCCTGACCAGAAGTGGCTGCACAGGGAAGCCATCTTGGCTTGTTGATGGGAAGGATGGATCTTGATGAGGTTGAGTATTTATATCTGCTGGTGTTTGATGACAGGGAGTATGCTTATCAAACTCTGAAGGAGTATACCCGGGATGAACTGCTAGAATGTATACGGCTCGCTCATGTTCTAGTAGATCAGGGCACAGAGTTCTCTGAGGTGCAGCCATTGATTGAGGTTTGTGCTGAGTTGGTTTCATCTGGTTCCCCCGAATGCAGGGATGAATTTTTGCCACCATTTAGTGCAGACCAGGTAGAGTCCCTGGTGTGGTTATTAGAGGATGATGTGGGTTACTTTCTGGAGCGTTATTCCACATGTTCACCACAGACACTAAGAGATTGTATAAACGCAGTGCAGTCATTGACCAGACAGGCTTTGTGTAAGCTCAGCTTTGTTCAACCCATACTGCAGACATGGACAGACTTGTTGCACCCAGCCTCAGTCAGCTTACAAAGACCCAGTCCTGCTTCTAACACTACTCCTGTATTCCCCATCAGCTCCTCCAGTTACAGCCCAGTATACTTGGCTATCTACCGCATGTCAGTCCCCTGTTCCCACTCGCTGCACCTATCCTGCCTTTAACCCTGTAAAAAAGCCCTCTGTAGCAACTGCTCCCTCTCCTGTTCCATCCTCCAGTTCTTCTCTGTCTCCAGCTGCTCCATTCGTTTGCAGACCTGCGTTTACTTGCAGTGCTCCAGTAGTTAAAACCAGAAAAAAGCGAAAATTCTTTCCAACCAATACCATCCTGCCAGTATCCAAACCGGTGAGCCTGCCTTCCGTGGTTCAGCCTGAAGCCTCTACTCAGCCTGAAGCCTCTACTCGGCCTGAAGCCTCTACTCGGCCTGATGCCTGTACTCGGCCTGATGCCTGTACTCGGCCTGATGCCTGTACTCGGCCTGAAGCCTCTACTCGGCCTGAAGCCTCTACTCAGCCGGATGCCTGTACTCGGCCTGATGCAGCCTGATGCCTCTCTTCAGCCTGATGCCTCTACTCAGCCTGATGCCTCTACTCGGCCTGATGCCTCTACTCGGCCTGAAGCCTCTACTCGGCCTGATGCCTCTACTCGGCCTGATGCCTCTACTCGGCCTGAAGCCTCTACTCGGCCTGATGCCTCTACTCGGCCTGAAGCCTCTACTCGGCCTGAAGCCTCTACTCGGCCTGATGCCTCTACTCGGCCTGAAGCCTCTACTCGGCCTGAAGCCTCTACTCGGCCTGATGCCTCTACTCGGCCTGAAGCCTCTACTCGGCCTGAAGCCTCTACTCAGCCGGACGCCGGCATTCAGCCTGATGCCTCTACCCAGCATGATGAACTGATCCAGCCTGACGATCCTATTAGGCCAGTTGACTCGATGCCCGCTGTTGATCCAGATGATCCGGTACCTGATCCGGCCCGCTGTCGTGCCAATTGACTCAGAGCCCGCTGTCGTACCTGGTGACTCGGTGCCCACTGCCTTGCCAGATGACGCGGTGCCCGCTGGCGAGCCAAATGACCTGATGCCTGGTGACCCAGTGCCCGCTGTCATACCTGGTGACCCAATGCCCGCTGTCGAGCCAGACGATCCAATGCCTGGTGACCCGGTGCCCACTGCCTTGCCAGATGACGCGGTGCCCGCTGGCAAGCCAAATGACCTGATGCCTGGTGACCCAGTGCCCGCTGTCATACCTGGTGACCCGATGCCTGCTGTCGAGCCCAATCCGGTACCTGATGACCCGGTGCCCACTGTCGTGCCTGTTGACTCGGAGCCCACTGCCTTGCCAGATGACGCGGGTGCCCGCTGTCGAGCCAAATGACCTGATGCCTGGTGACCCGATGCCCGCTGTCCAGCCAGACGATTCAATGTCTGCCCCAGTGCCCGCGGTCATGCCAGTTGACTCGGAACCCACTGCCTTGCCAGATGACGCGGTGCTCGCTGTCAAGCCAAATGACTTGATGCCTGGTGACCCGATGCCCGCTGTCCAGTCAGACGATCCAATGTCTGACCCAGTGCCCGCGGTCATACCAGTTGACTCGGAGCCCACTGCCTTGCCAGATGACGCGGTGCCCGCGGTCGAGCCAAATGACCTGATGCCTGGGTGACCCGATGCCCGCTGTCCGGTCAGACGATCCAATGTCTGACCCAGTGCCCGCGGTCATACCAGTTGACTCGGAGCCCACTGCCTTGCCAGATGACACGGTGCCCACTGTCGAGCCAAATGACCCGATGCCCGCTGTCCAGCCAGACGATCCAATGTCTGACCTAGTGCCAGCGGTCATGCCAGTTGACTCGGAGCCCACTGTCGTGCCTGGTGACTCGGTGCCCGCTGCTCCGCCTGGGGGCCCGAGACCTGTCGCTCCGCCTGGGGGTCCAGCGCCCGCCGCTCCACCTGGGGGTCCGGCGCCCGCCGCCCCGCCTGGGGGCCCGAGACCTGTCGCTCCGCCTGAGGGCCCGAGACCTGTCGCACCGCCTGGGGGTCCGGCGCCCGCCGCTCCGCCTGAGGGCCCGAGACCTGTCGCTCCACCTGGGGGTCCGGCGCCCGCCGCTCCGCCTGAGGGCCCGAGACCTGTCGCTCCACCTGGGGGTCCGGCGCCCGCCGCTCTGCCTGAGGGCCCGAGACCTGTCGCTCCACCTGGGGGTCCGGCGCCCGCCGCTCCGCCTGACGGCCCGAGACCTGTCGCTCCGCCTGGGGGTCCGGCGCCCGCCGCTCCCGCCTGAGGGCCCGAGACCTGTCGCTCCGCCTGGGGGCCCGAGACCTGTCGCTCCACCTGGGGGTCCGGCGCCCGCCGCTCCGCCTGAGGGCCCGAGACCTGTCGCTCCACCCGGGGGTCCGGCGCCCGCCGCTCCGCCTGAGGGCCCGAGGCCTGTAGTTCCGCCTGGGGGTCCGGCGCCTGCCGCTCCGCCTGGGGGCCCGATGCCTGTCGCCCCGCCTGGGGGTCCGATGCCTGTCGCCCCGCCTGGGGGCCCGAGGCCTGTCGCTCCATCTGGGGGTCCGGCACCCGCCGCTCTGCCTGAGGGCCCGAGACCTGTAGTTCCGCCTGGGGGTCCGATGCCTGTCGCCCCGCCCGGGGGCCCGATGCCTGTCGCCCCGCCCGGGGGCCCGAGGCCTGTCGCCCCGCCCGGGGGCCCGAGGCCTGACGCCCCGCCCTGGGGGCCCGGTGCCTGCCGCTCCGCCCGGGGGCCCGGTGCCTGCCGCTCCGCCCGGTGGCCCGCTGCCTGCCGCTTCGCCTGGTAGCCCGATGTGCCTCTGCCCGGGGTCCTGCCCGATGTGCCTCTGCCCGGAGTCCTGCCCGATGTGCCTCTGCCCGGAGTCCCTGCCCGATGTGCCTCTGCCCGGAGTCCAGCCCGATGTGCCTCTGCCCGGTGTGCCTCTGCCCGGAGTCCAGCCCGATGTGCCTCTGCCCGGAGTCCAGCCCGATGTGCCTCTGCCCGGAGTCCAGCCCGATGTGCCTCTGCCCGGAGTCCAGCCCGATGTGCCTCTGCCCGGAGTCCAGCCCGATGTGCCTCTGCCCGGAGTCCAGCCCGATGTGCCTCTGCCCGGAGTCCAGCCCGATGTGCCTCTGCCCAGTGTGGCTCTGCCCGGTGTGCCTCTGCCCGGAGTCCAGCCCGATGTGCCTCTGCCCGGTGTACCGCTGCCCGGAGTCCTGCCCGGTGTGCCAGTCTTTGATATCCCGCCAGTTACCAGACCCGGGCGGTGGAACATTTTTCCCAGCTAGGACTGTTTGGAGCGTCCTGAGGCCGCTCCTTGAGGGGGGGGTACTGTCAGGAATGGACTGGCCAGCAATGGTGGGACTCACCTGCCTTTTGATCTGCAGTACCAGGGCTGGCCAGCGGGTGCTCCCAGCAATCAGAGACTCAACCTTTCAGCCAGCTAACACCTGGAACAGATGATACTGGTGTATTTAAGGGATGGCCAGACTTGCAGACTCTGCCTTGGTGTTGTGTTTGTCCTGGGCCCTGTATCTGTCCTGCATCCTGTTTCTGTTCCTTTGCTACCTGTTCTGATCCCTGGCTTGTGACCCTGACCATCCCTCTGCCTGACCCTTGTACTACGCTGCTTGCTACCTGTTCTGATCCCTGGCTTGTGACCCTGACCATCCCTCTGCCTGACCCTCTGTACTACGCTGCTTGCTACCTGCTGAACCTGGCCTGTGACCCCGACCATTCTCCGCTTGCTCCCCCTGTACCTACCTGCCCAATTGATATTGACTCGGCCTGCCTGACGACGCTTGCTTGTATGTACTGTTATCTGTGGGTGGTTGGTTGGGTTTGTTTGCACTGTATTATGTTTAGTATTGCACTGCGTTTATGTTTGTATTGTTAGTGTTAATAAATTACATTGTTAATCACATATCTGAGGTCTGCGTTTCCCTGCTTCAGTCACACACCTCTGGTCATACCTGGGAGCCCTGACAGGGGGTTCACTGTTATGTAAGGGAGGGTGGGGGACTCTTGACTTCTCATGGTGGGGGCAGTTGGGTCTGTCACAGGGAGGCTCTTGACATCTGATATAAGGGGGGTTAGATACAACTGGCCCTTTGAGGGCAAACATAATGCTGATGTGGCCCCAGATGAAATAGATTTTGACACCTCTGCTCTACAGAGTACAGCAGGATTCTCCTGCCTTTCATGTCCCTTTATCTTGTATTTGCTTATAGATAATAAACTGTTTGTTTTGTTTTAGCCATTCCAAGGGATTGTCAGTAGTCATTATGTGAGGAATTAACAGTGCTTTGTTATAATAATTTTAGCAACAGAACACTATTTATATTAACATGCTCCTCTGCCTGTTGCTGGAATCTCTTCTCTTGCAAATCACTACTCTCTGCGTTGGACCATAGTTCCATCCCCTGTCTCTTGTATCAATGCCAGACACAGTAGTTATGTAGGGGCTGGTGGACTGAACTACAACACCGGGCAGGGGATGCAGGCAAAGAACTGACCAAGAAGTGTATTGGATGTGAAGAGTCTTTGCATACTGTCTCCTTTTGCTCTAGACAGGGCAGAGGGTGGGGTGCCATGCTGTTTTGTTATTTGTAACCAGAATCACTTTTACTGGAATTTGCAGGCCTCATTGTTATGGTGATCCCTTCCTGAATGCAGTTCCCTTTTCTTACCACTAGCTGGAAATTTTTCAGACTTAAAATTTCTGATTTGTTTACGCCTGGAGCACTGAATGTTGGGAGATGTAGTTTGGGCCAAGAGAGATGCCAATATCAATGCAGGCAAAAGTAACTACAAGACCAAGGGTGCCTGGAGGAAGAAGGGACCATATAAATAGGAAAGCCCAGGAAAAGTTTGGGACAATTGGGATTTAGCCGCCAGTGTGTGAAGAAGGTAAAGACCTGTTACAGAAAGCACAGAGCTGAGGAGACTGGTTACATATTTAATGCTGCATCAATATCAGAAGCTGTTGGTTCCAGAGAGTAGGGAGATCAGCTGGACTGCTGGACTGAGTTAGAGACAGGGAGTTTCTGTTTGCTATGATCGTGTTCCACATGGCAGCCTATCGCTTCTGCTGCCAGAGGACCCAGGGCATCAAACCCACACTAGCTGACCACACATGATCCAATCATAATTTATTATCGCATAGCAGAAACCACCACTTGTCAGATTGTTGCAGGAAGCCGCTTTGAGAACCAACTCCACATTGAAGGCGGCCCACATCTGAGAAAACAAACCTGCATCTACAGATACAGAGGAGCTTGTGAGTGGGTTTCTGACCAATTAGTGATCCATCATTTGACCGTTTGCCTAATCACCTGGAGAACTTTATTGTCCTTTATCTCTACTGACATCTCCCGTCTGCTTATTACTGACCACTGCTAGTCCTGTTGGCCAGAATATATATATTTATATCTAACCATCATCATATCTTAGAGTGCTAACACTTGGCTGCCCCTCCCTTGCCAATGGGAGCCCATTGTTTTTCAGAACTGACTTGCTGTTTTCAGGGATATCCACTCCCCCCCCCAACAAGCACGCCAACATCTTCAAGGACCCCAATGTATCCAGCAGAAGACACAGTACATAATTCACCTTCTACATATATTTTCTCTGTTTCAAAAAAGCCTAGGCTTTGCTCCCTCACCTCAAGTGCCTATAGGCAACGTAGCCCTGATCTGCATTAGTGCCAGTCTGTTTTTGCCCTATGCTTCTCATTTAGTGAGAAGAGCTACAATTTATGCTGGTTTGGTGTGTACTCTAACCATATTAGGTGAATATTCTGCAAAGAAATCCTCACTGTTATACTCTGCTTGTCTGAAAATTATATGACAATATTGTGACGAACCGTCCCTTTGCGATAACATTTTGCCCTTTCTGTTCTGGTTTTATCCCCTTTGTAAAGCTGTATATGTTTCACAGACATTCTACACTGTTTGTTTAGGGAAATGTGACCTTGTAGAGTCATACTGTATTGTTGGCTTGTAGGATTTTGTTGTGGGTGGGGAAAACCCGGTGCCAGGCTGTCTGGTGGGACTGAAGGGGGGCGGGGATTACTGCCAGGATGTGCTGTATATACTGAGCTGTGTTTAATAAAGAAAGAGTCATTTTCACCCTACACGAAGTTCCGGCTCGTGGTTTGGGAGAGCAGGGAAGGGAGTGTTTTGATCTCTAATACCTGCCTTGGCAGAGCACTGGAAGACTTGCAGGAAAAGGGGACCATTGGGTGAGACGCACTGCTCCGCACGAGGAAGCCCAGGCGAAACCGTTCCACCACAAATATACTTTGTTGCCTTACCACAAGATCACGAGTCTCATTTCAGGTGACCCTAAGGTATTAACAAAAATGATTAATCTCTACCTATTGACGTGTATACCCGAGGTATCAGTAGTACTGAGGTCTTTGCCAAGGTCAAGGTAAGAACAGAGGACCTGACATAACCAGCGGCTCCTGCGAGTGTAGCGTTACATACATTTTGAGAAAAATATGACAGTTAAGCTATCTAATACTGAAATTATACTGAAAATGTTGATATAAGTTCACAGATTGTTGCACATTCATCCAGTTACAAATTGGGTAAAAGTAAACTGTTGCACACAGAATCTGGTGCAGCTGTGCATAATAACAAATCAGCTTCTAGGTCTCAGACCCCGTTCACACTTGTGTATTTTTCAGCTCAAAGCTCGATGCTCAAAAACGCTCAACAAGTAAAATCCCATTATTTCCAATGGTACCTGTTCACACTTGAGCATTCTGTCGCCTGTGGCAAAACACCCGTCAAGCAAAAAAAGTACTTGCACTATTTTTTCAGGCAGATCGGACATTTTGTCCCCATAGACTTGAATGGAAAACGCCTAAACAGTGGGAATGACTGTTTTTTTTTTTTCAAGTATTTCTTCAGGCATTTTCAGCTCAAACAGCAGCTATTTCTATTTCTATTGGCCACAGCAAAAATGCCTGAAAAAACGCCTATAATGTTTGCAAATCTGCTCAAAAAAACACTCAAAGACTCCTGAAAAAAATGTGAGAAAAAGCCCTCACTGTCAAAGCTTAATTGAACAAGCTGAAGGTTAGAAGCTGATTGGTTACAATGACACAGCTGCACACAGCATTATGTGTGCTTCCCGCATCCGTTTTAGTTAACTCTCCCCTATAGATATACCCCTCAGCCCTCATGCACACGGGACTTTTTCTTTTCTACAGCGCTGTTTTTGAGGTGTTTGACCTTATTTTTTTTTTTCTCTACAGTCTATAAACTCACGTCAGCATGTTATCTCCTATGTGTCCATACACACATAGGCTGTAATCCACGTTTTTTGGCTTGGGATGTTTTTGTTTGGCTGGACGCAAATGTGGGAAAAACGGGCCGCTACATTCGCAGCAAATCTGCCATGCGGGACAACACTAATGCAGAAAACACCTGACTTTACAACAGCAGCCACGTTACCGAGTGCTGAATCCACAAACAATCCCTGCGAGTGTGCAATGAGGGCTTACATGTCATTTTTGTTAGGGTTATGCTTACAAACTTCATAGTCACACAAGTCACTTTTCAGGGGAAAAAATATATGGGCTTCTACACTTAGGGGCGGACTGAACAACTCCATAGGGCCCACCGGGCAAGAGGGGATCATGGGGCACCCTGTGGTTCCATGCCCAACAAGTCAATAAAGCCTAGGAAAAAGGTACCAGGGTGCAGCTCAAGGGTGTCCCCTACTGTCCCTGGGCCCTCAGGCAAATCGGGGATCATGGGGCCCCCTGTGTCCTTCCT